TCCTTCTTCGTTCCCATTGAGACACCTCCCGAATTAGCATCATTACCCTTGGACTTCTTCTTCGAATCCTTCTTAGCTCATTTTCACACGGTTTCGGCTCATTCTTAAATTCAGCATCATTATTTGTTTTCAAATCCTCAAATTTCACTCCCAAATCATCATTTTCATCCATTACCGACTCCAACACCATTCTTCTTTTCAACGGAACATTTGCAATTAAAAGACTTAGAATGAGAGTCAGAATGTACCTCTTTGTCGATGTCGTACATAAACGAGCATTAGCAAACTTTGTGTGTAGCATCCGTGGCATTGTTCATCGTAAACGTGACCGTTTCTCCAAGAGTCTAGTGGGTCACTTGTCCATCCTTGACATCAATAAGTGTGTTGGTCGTTGTCATGAAAGGTCGCCCAAGAAAGATTGTGTGCTCATTCCCGATGTTTAGGAAATCTCTCACGTCAAGGACAACAAAATCCTCCAGCAGCACAGTAGACCCAACCTTGTCCAATACATCCTCAATAATGCCCTTCGGATCCATCAACATTCTATCCGCTAGTTATTGGCACATCCGTGTAGGCTTAAGTCTTTGCAACCCCAATTGTTTGTAAATCGAGTATGACATGAGATTAATACCGACCCTTATATTAAGCATCCCGGTTGTCGCCTTTCTATTCCCAAATGTGATCTTAATAACAAAGCCTCCAGGGTCCCACTCTTTCCGAGGTATAGAGGTAGATGCCACCTTAAAAGTCATGACTTTTTCAATATCCTCAAATCTCCTTTTCTTTAACGCCATATCCTTGAAGAATTGAACATATGCCGACACATTTCGGATAACGTCTAAGAGTGAGACATTCACATATACCTTAGAGAGCATGTCAAAGAGATCCTTGAATTTATGATTCTTCTTCGTGTCTTGTAGACGACTCATCTTCGTGTCCCTCAAAGAGATCCTTGAATAGATGATCCTTGAGATTCACATGTATCCGTCTTTGCCTTTTCCTTCTCTCTTCTCATTCATCACTACTTTCTCCTTTGGCACTTCATCCTCCTTGTTCGGTTCTACATCATCCTCATACTCAACTCAATAGTCTCCTCCACCTCATTTTCATTCTTCATATCGACTCGATTCTCTACCTCATTTCCACTTCTCATAACCATGATAGTTGACATGCTCGGGCTGGCTCGGTAGGTTATCCTTCATTTTTCTTCTTTGGATTTCTGCTATAGATGTCTCGAGTTGCCCCATTTGCTTCTCTAGGAATTTGAGAGAGGCTTGAATCGAGGTCACTCCTTTAACAATGTTGTGCAACTTAGATACGGTAGAGGCCAACGATTGAAGACACTTCTCCAAGCTTTCGAGCCGGGTATCCGAAGACTCAACCCTAGCATTTTTCTCGGGCTTCGGTGGAGGTGGAATTAGGTCCCTTTGGATGAAACCTCCACGCCCTTGTGGATATTCTTAAAACTCGGGCCTTGGTTAGTAGCCTTGGAACTCAGGCCTCGGTTGAAACGTGCGGTTTGGAGGAGGTAGTAGGCTAGAGGCGGGGCACGCTTGAGGTGGTTCCAGTTGTGGCACATAATTCGCCTTCGGGCCCCTCTATGAAAAGTTTGAGTGATTCCTCAACCCGGGGTTGTAAGTATTCGAATAGGGATCGTTTTGGACCAGGGGAGCATACCCTTGGACAACATTAACATCAAAAGGACCCCTTCAAGATTCGGGTCAATTCTACATAAGAATCATTGAAAATAACTTATCGCTAAAAATTTCCATAAACAAAAATTTATATTGTAATATAGTTGACTTGATAATATAATTGATGAATTTATATGTTATAAATATATAACTAAAATTCTACATACATCAGTTAAAAAGGTTATAAAAATATATTTTGAAGTTAGAGAATAAATATTTTGCAAAAGAGAGAATATAAGATGTGATCAAGATTTTTAAAAAAAAAAGAATAAGATGGTAAAATTGTAATTTTTATATTTATCATATTTCCTTTAGTTGTGATAACGCGTTTATGTTATAATTTTAATAAAGTTATGAGTTATGTTAAATTCTACTTGGTTGAGTTGTAAATTAATTCATTATGTATCTTCCTTTCTTTTAATTTTATTTTCAAAATAGGGACATGATTCAAATTATTAAAAATATTATCAAAATTTTTGTTAGATACCTTACCCTATATGTTTTGAGATGAGAGCCTTTGTAAGAATATTAAATAAACATGAATCTGCCATTTTTTTTTTTATATAACTCAAATGCGAATAATGTTCGAATACATCGACTGACTCGACCAAAGTCGAAAATACATACTGGGAGGACACGAGTAAGAGCGGCCTAGAACTCAACATAATAAGGAATCTGCTACACATAGAAAATGAAGTGAGCAAGAACAACCACTGCACACTATCTAGTTGCCTAACTCATCCTCCACAGAAGATACAAATAATACTAACACAAGAACAACCAAACATGGAAATATGCTAAAACAGACACATACTACAAACAAACAAACACCAGCAACTATAACAGACATAACAGAAAAGGACCCCAATGACCAGGAAGCTGACTAAAGGACTAGCAGATCAAGCCTTCACCTCTCTGAATTCCAGCCATTCCCTATGAGCTGGTTTGATCACTATGGGGATTGGCATTCTTAGAACTTCAAAAAGCCATAAATTCCTCGACTTTCACATCCACCACAATAAGTATGTGGTGAGCTGTATCATGTCTTCTGCCACTAGAGTTTTTTCTATTGAGCAGAGTTGCCACCACCATGTCCTGAAGGAACTATCAACATTACTAACAGCATACCATTGAACCGGTCCCACCTTCCATAGCATATCAGCTCTTGGGCAATGAAACAGAACATGTTCTATGGTTTCTGCAGTTTTACCAAAGCAAGGACATAAGATGTCCACTGAAAGTCCTTTCTTCTTCAAGTTTGTGTTAACAGGTAGCACACCAGAACAATATCTCCAGATAAAATGTTTGATGGTCCCTTTAATTTCCAAATTCCAGCTCCTAATTCTGGCTCTTCTAATGGTAGTAGAGTGCATACTCATTTTTGGGACATCATACTGCAAGAGCTTTTGTCTGATTAGATAAGAGTAAGTAGAAGATACTTAAAACTTACATTTATTGTCCCAGCTCAAATAGAATCGATCCTTCTTCATGAGGTTCAAAGTTTTGATCGCCAATATAGCTTGGTTGTCTTCTTCATTAAACAGTTGTTTCACCAGCCAAGATTCTAGCTTTGTCCATTGATTATTCTATCAAAATACTTTTGTTTGATTTTTTTCATTAAGAAATTACAATGAAAGTAATAACATTGAAATATTGTTTAGAATTGTTGTTGACATTTCATTGTAATAATATTTACATTGATTTTTTTGTTGAAATTTCATCATTTTCTTGTAGTAAAAGTAGAACTCCAAATCAACAAAAAACTTGGATTATATATACTATTGTGTGCAACTAATTAATATGAAAATTGTAGATAATGATAGAAAATATGACATATTAATTATGTAATTACCATTTAATTTATGTTAAGTAGTAATTTTTTTCAAAACAGACAAGATAGATCTAAGATGATAAATCTTTAATTATTTTATTAGTATTATAATAGCTAAACAAGGGGTAAAAATGATGTTCTATGTAATAAAAAAGTAAGACTACATAATGAGAAAACTTATAGCCCCATTCAATCCAAACACAAAAAAAGTGATTAAATTAATTAATGTCCTATATGAAGATGCATATATTTTAACTAGAACTTTTAAGTACATTTTTTTTATGTTAGTTTTAATTTTTTAATTTAAAATAAAATATGATGTGTATTAGTGTATTACTAATTTAACATTAAAAATATGTCAAAGAGTTATTCAAGTAGTTCATTTTCTTATAAAATTATTTATTCTTTTATAATAATATAGATATAGTATGTAAGTTATGCATAATTGTATATGTAAATAAATTCTCGTTAAGACGCTAGTCTCTAGCCCGCGGCACGTTTAGAACCTTTGACCAGCCAGACACCAAAGAATAATGGGCAACATATTGATTCATGATGAAAAATGTACCCAGTTAGTAAGGATCCAACATAGAAAATGCATCACGCTTATTATTTGATGAAACAGTAATCCTATAATTGAATCATCAAAGAGAATGGATTATTTTGATGTCTCTACAGCAGATGTGTTCATAAATAGTCATTATTTATTAATATTATTATTATTATTATTATTATTATTATTGTTATTTATTATTATTATTATTATTATTATTATTATTATTATTATTTTTATTATTATTATTCCCTGAACATAAAATAATTGCACATGAGAAAAAACATAAATGGACAAGTGTCAATATATTAATGATCATTTCAATGTATGAGTTGATTATGCCTTAGTGAGGAAGGGTTATAAAGGTTGGTTTTCAGCCCTAACGGCTTATTTGTTGGATCATAAAGTTTTCTATTTTGCTTTTCCAATTATAAAATAAAAGAAATAAACAAATCTTCCACTCATATGATATTTTGGTCGACAGAAAATTTGCTTAGATTAGCGTCAACTCAATCCGGCAGACATGCTTACAATCTGAATTTTCGTAACTATGAACATAAAATTGTTCGAAGAAAATAAAGTAATTCAAAAACAAAACTATATAATAAGAAACTAAACGCAGCAAAATCCGCTAGAAATTGATAGTGGAACTTATTATTTAATTTGTTCCTATTAAGAAACTTATGGCGGATTCTGGATTTCATAGAGTGGTAGTCAAATAAAACTATATTTATCTATAAATTTTATATATCTAATTAACCTAAATATTATTTTTCTAAGAATAGAAATAGTATATTTTTAATCACCTCAAGCTCTTATCAAGAAGAGTCTATTTTTTTTTTTTCAAAGTTAACCTGAATATAATAGAAGAACTCAAACAATGTACATAAGGTTTAGTCAAATGACTACAGACAATCATACCCTAAACAACTAAGGCACCATCATCACGGGAGGCAGCATTTAGCTTTCCCTCTAAAGCCATCTTGGCTAAGTCTACACATTCAGAAACCCAATTACAATCAAAGACATATTTGCAAGAAATAAGCCTAGAAACAAAGTCATAAATGTCAATAACAATGATATCATAATGGCAATTGAAGGCATTCTTGTTGTTCAGTTTGAAGACAAGGTCTTTATCATCCACCAGACAAATGAAATCTTCAACATTATTCTCCACAGTTTTTTCCATTGCCCATCTAATTGCCATCAATCTACCTTCTTGCTTAGAACCTGCAAAAGCCTTAGCCTCTGACCATTTATCAACCAGCTCACCTTCCTTGATCATCACTCCTCCACAACCTAGCCATCCCAAGGTGTTAGATAGAGCACTGACAGCTATATAAGCCTGCCCTACTCCAGCCTGAATATCTTCCACCCCAGCTACAGACAGACTGCTCCCATGGTTATGGTCTTCACTACCAAAGGACCCATTCCTCTCCATTGTTTCTGAAAATTCTACCCATTCATCTTGAGCCTTTCTAGCTATTATGTGTTCTGGGGTCCAATTCTTATCAAGAAGAGTTAACGGGCATCAACTTGGCCTAAATGGTTGGTGTAAGATTTAATTTTAATAATAAGTTCGACAAATTAATACTTTGATGATTTTCTTGCTATGACAAACAAAATAAATTAAAAAGATGGATTCATTTTTTTTGTCTTAAATTTATTTAAATTCCTTAGGTACTATGTTTATTTAGTATGGTAAGTAAAATATATATTAGCATCTAATAGATGGTACTCGTGCGTAGCTCGTGCGATGCACGGGTAAACAATATTAAATAATAACTATAAATTAAAATTGAGGGTAAACAATATTAACTATTAATTATAAATTAAGATGTGGAGTTAATATGTGACATAATTTATCATATATTAGTTGTAAACAATATAAAATTATTTTACATATATGCTTAAAATATAAAAATCACCTAAAATACTATATAACTTATGTAAAGAATCTGAAATTTTATGCATCATTATTGAAAGATGTGAAGTCACCTAAAATTTTTCTAAATTTTGCAAAGAAAACAAGTCTAAAACTATTTAAAGAAATCTTGCCTACAATATATTATTCAATTTTCAAAAGATGATGATAAGTATAAGTTTGAATTTTACAATCCACGTGAGTATTAATTTTAAGATCCGTATACTACTCAAATTACTAATTATGTTCCTTTAATGTGAACTTCATATTGATTTATTGATTTTATTTTATTCCCATACAAAGTTGATCGTCTCATTTTGTTTTACCATATTTTCGTGGAGATTTAACAAAGCCAGTTGCATTTATAAAATGATTTGTATATCAACATACAATTTATAATGGAGTTTTCAAAATCATGTACTATTAACAAATAATATATTATCATTAAATATTTTTTTTAAATGCACAACTATGGAGACTGAGAATTTAAAAATTATTTTAATTTTTAAAGCCGAGTTTAGAAAAAAATAATAGATTGGTAAACAAATAACTGATAAACATTACCAAGTTTATCATCACACGTTTCTAATAAATAAATTGTGGTGATTTGTGAAAAATGATATTTAAGCGATAGCGTTCCATATTTTTTTAAAGGCACAAATATAAAGACTGTTATTTTAAAACTTTTGTTACCTTTTCAATTGAGATTTTATAAATATAGAGACTGAGATTTTAATGTTGTTTATTGTTCCTAAGAAAAAAAATAAAAATGAAAATATGCACACTTATAGATCTTAGCCGGAATTTTTAAATAATTAAATGATTAAAGACCAAATTTTAAGGCAACATTTAATGATGTATTATTTCTTAAAGATAAAAATAAGAATAAAAATAAAAAAAATAATAAAATTTACTATTTATGGGTTGCATTAAATTCTGCATATTTTTTTGCTACCATTTTTGGTAAATGATTATTCTTATTATATAGATATAGATATAGATTGATATTTGATAAATTTCTTCTATAATATTTACTTTATTTATAGCAGGAAGGATCCTGAGACAAAGGAAATATGAGCTAATTATGATTACAAAACCTCGACTTCAACATGAAGGAGACCGTGTCCAAATAATGAAGGAACCATTTTGGAAGGAAATCATTTCCACAAGGAAAGAAGTTAATATAGGGGAATTAGAATGCTCCCTACCTTTGACGAGTTAGTATATATGCTTGGTAGTGCTGGAGTATAATGTATAAACTCGAGTTTGTTTTACTCCCAATTTCATTTTGAACAAGGTTCGTATCTTTAGTAAAGTGTAAGTCCGTAATTTATTTATTTATACAAATGTAGTTCATTTATTTACATTGTAGATAATAGGGTTTGATATGAGTCGAACAAAAAGATCTTATTATCGGTATCTTGTAAAATATAATTGTTCGTCACGGCCCACACAAAATTGAACTAAATCTCGTGAAAGGCTATAGTGTGATTTTCAAGTTAGTTGATTTTTGACTAACAAATTATAGTGATACATCTCAGATGTATTGAATGGACATATAGGAGGATAGGATTATTTTATACTGATCAAGTAAATAATCCAGACCTCATTATTTTCTGCATTCTCTTAACATGTAAGACAATAAAGGGGCATATGTATTCGGTATTTATTTACTTGATTTACTATGGGTGAGACTTATTTTGTTAGGTCGACATACTCTATATTTTTGCAAATAATGTCCAGTGCGTGATGTGTCGTTAAGATTGTTTACAGTCACCGTGTCTCGGTCCGCCGAGTTGATGGCGTCCCCGAAATGAGTCCAAAGAAGGATTATTATGATAAATTCAGTCGGTGGATTAATTTTCAACATAATAATAAAGGGATTGAGTGGAATAATTATATTGTCAGTAATTAAATTAATCAATAGACGTTGTATCTTAAACATTGGGAGGTAAATCGGACAATTAGTCAGGAGATGAATTTTTGTAATTCGGAGCTACATAGGGAGTTCAATAATATAACTCTACTTAATGTTCTATTATTCAACTATGAGCAGACTAGGCTTAGTCCACAATTAGGCCCATACTTGAGAAGTCTATATTTAGATTATCCTTATGGTCTCTGTTGTATCCTAAAAATACACCAACTCCCCTAGCCTCCATCACGTTGTTCCCAAAATGTGAGTTCTACACGTGAGATCAGTTTTCTTCTCTTTGTAAAATTTGGATAAAACCAAGAGATCCTGGACGAGAAAATCAAGAGGCTTTAAGAGTTTCGTTTAGTTACTCCACCAAGACTATTTGGAGAAGGTGTTAAAGCTCATATAACATAACATCCCAATGTCTCGTTTTCGCATCCCAACGAATATATATATATATCCCAGCGGTACCTCGGACGACCACAAAACTTGGAGAGCACCACCACCAGAGGCAGATGCATCCACCAGAGTCATCAGATCCTTAAGGCGCAACCCCACGCGCTGTCACTAGAACCCAAGTGCCGCAGCACACGACTCGTGCACAGCCTGCAGGCGACCGTGCGTAGTCCCTGACGATCGTGCCTGAATCACGCACAACAGCATGCATAGTCTGCGCAAACTGCTCACAGCTCGTGCACAACGCTTCCCAACGTCTGCGGGCAGTAGCGTCCTAGTGCGACCCGCAGCGTGACCCGTGCACACTTTGTGCGACCCGCGCACTTCTCGTACGACCCCGGCGATGCCTGGTGAGTTTCGCGCAAAGTCTCAACAACCCAGCACCCTAGTGCGCGATGTCTCAACAACCAGTGGCAGTGCAGTGCGATGTCTCGGCAACCAGTGCAAAGGCCATGCGAGCCTTGACATCTAGTGCACCAGCGGACCCTAGGAAAGACTTCCACAAACCACGCGAGCTGTAGCGAGTCCAGACCACCTCCAGTTCCTGCTGGTTGCGGTCTGATAGCAATCCAACAAGCCAAAGGCTATGCAATACGTGACTTGAACACCGGGAGACGTGACTCAAACACTAGGAGACATGACGTGGTGATCGCAATGGACGAGCGAATCGACGAGATGAGTACGACAAGCAATGAGGCGAGAGGACGAGAACTCTGATGTGATGAAAAACCCAGAACCGTTCGTCCTCCACCATAGGCCGTGTATGTCTTTATAGAGTGAGAAAAATTCTAAATCGTAAGTTTTGATCCTAATTGTAGACTCTACTGCGTTAGAATTTATTTTTAATAGATATGGATGTACATATCGTTGACGTTCCTCACAGAACCAAATAGGTAGAAGATTCAAATAAAGGCTACTTCTATTATCGAGAATATCATTCTAGTTTTTCTTTGATTGTTCGTAAGCTTTTCAGGTTTTCATTTGTTTCCTCGTTTTTTTTGTGTTAGTGCATCACTAAGAACTAAACTTATTCACAGACGCTTTGAATGCTTAGAGATTAAGTGTTTTTGTAGCTTGTAGGGATCCACAACGAGTTTGATATCCACACGTTGTGGCCAGTGAACTAATTGATAGAGTCGGGTATAGTGATGGTTAGATTAGAAGTAATTTCAAGTTCTACATTGTATGTAACTGTATTATTAATGAAAGAATTTTAAGGGATAGTAAAACTCTCCCCGATTTTTTTTTTTTTTTATATACGTTACTTCTGCTTTTAATTTCTTTGTTCAAACACAAGTTGCATACTCTGTATACGATCGCAGTAAGTAATTGCACCACATAAGTAAATCATAAGTTTTAAACCGATGTATGAAAAACTCAATATATCGTATTTCAGGGTGAAAATTAAATTAATATATCTTCATTAATTTCGAGTGAAAATGGTTATTTTCACAACTGTTATAATGGTCCGCACACGATCGTAAGTTGGTATCATCATTTTTAAATTACAAGAAGAATCTCAAATATATATTATATAATCTACAACACCTAAAAGCACCCTTATAAATTGGCCTAAAAGAGTGTTTTACTTGTAAAACACGTGTGCCTACGTCTGCTTCATGAGATGGTAATGTTCGATAGTGATGGTTTGTGGGGTAAGGTTTCAAACTACAAATTGAAGATTATATTAGTTGTTGGTAATTAAATCGTGGAATAAAATAAATAAATAAAAAAAGGGGTGGAGTGAGAAAACAGAATGGAGGGGGACCTTGATACATAGATAGATATATATGTTAGGTCTTCTTGTCTTTGACTCTATGATCTGTACATGTATGTGTCTTTTCGATGGAATTTTCTTCACTCACAAGGTTAGGTTATCAAATCATCATATGCTTATGAGAAATTGAAACACATTTTGCTTCCACTTCACATAATCTCTAATTAACTCTCTCTCTCTCTCTACCTCTATTTATGTTTGTTTTCACAGTCCCAATCAAGGCCAGTTGAGGAACAATATACCATACACATTTTTCCTCTAAACCTCCACTCCACTAAGAGGGATCATTCAAATCATCATCAACATAAATAAGAAAAATGAGGAAGCCCGAGGGCCCGGAGAAAAGGGGGAACGCTAATAATAATAAGGCGGCAAAGCTGAGAAAAGGGCTTTGGTCGCCTGAAGAAGATGAGAGGCTTATGAATTACATGTTGAGCAATGGGCAAGGCTGCTGGAGTGACATTGCTCGAAATGCCGGGCTTTATAGGTGTGGGAAGAGCTGTCGACTGAGGTGGATAAATTATCTGAGGCCCGATTTGAAAAGAGGCGCTTTTTCCCCTCACGAGGAGGAACTTATCCTGCATTTGCATTCCATTCTTGGCAATAGGTACCTACCAAATCCAATCATGTTTTAATACTTACTTTTTTATTTTTAGTTCTAAAATACGGGTTTAGTCATTGGATGAATGGAACCAACACCCCAATAAGGTGGGAGTTAAGGCCGAACCCATAACCTGTATATAAAATGCTCTAAATTAAAAGTCCAATGCTTGATATACATCCAGTCAAACGAAAAAACAAAAAACAACAAAGAAAAGCTAACAACTGCAGCGATAATATGAAAATAACAGATCATGATCCGGGCTAAAGTTCCGACTAGAAAGTCAATATCACAGTGTGGCGGGTGCACCAAACAGAATATGTAACGTGTTTAATTATGTAACATGGATTGAAACAGAATATGTGATGTTTTTGCCCCTGAAAAAGGTAGCAAATTTCTATTTACCCCGAAACAGTAAATTTTCGGTTTGTTTTTTTGTTTTTCTAATAACAATATCGATATCGAGTCCAGTCTCACAAAATATAACCACCAAGTATAAATTTCCGTTTGTTTTCTAAACTTTTCATGATTTTTGTTTGTTTTTATTACTATTAGTTTTAAGGTATCCAGCTCAATTATATTAACCGAAATATATAATGTATATTTAAATTCTTGAATATACCTGCCCGTGCACTTTGGGAGATGTGTTTTTAATTAATTTTGTAAGTGTAAAATTATTAAACTTTATAGGCTAAATTGTAAAATATAATTAGTATCTTGTACACAGTAGCAATAATGGCCACCATTGTTACAAATTGACAATATTAACCAATAACTTTCAAAATTTCGAGATTATTACTCATGTTTGACCAAATTCGACAGATAAATTGCAACATATAGTCAGTATTTTTTTACGCAGTGGCAACATTAGCCATCGAATTTGATCGGACATGGGTAATAACCCCAAAATTTTCAAAGTTGTTGGCTAAAATTGCCAATTCGTAAAGATTAAACCAATTTTATGTCACAATTCTCGCTAACTACCCTATTAATTCAATTCGGTTCTAATTATTTTTGGATTCATTTTCGGTCTCCATAGAGAACTCCATTTCTGTTCATTTTAAACCGAAACCATTTATAATTGGTTGTATAGTTTTTGGGCAATGAACGTTAGACTTTTCGTGGTTATTAATATTTCCTCATCATGTAAGACTGATTACATAGTATAATCCATACTATACAAATATCCATGCATCCCACCCAATCACATTATATTTTACCTGGACAATAATTAATTATACACACAATTTCATTTCACACCAACTCCTTATATATTTCAAATTAGGCAGCTGGAGTGATATATAAGAAAATGATATTTGTACTGACTGTTTGTGCATGCATTATTATATCAGGTGGTCTCAGATTGCTGCACGCCTGCCCGGAAGAACGGACAACGAAATTAAGAATTTCTGGAACTCCACAATCAAGAAGAGGTTAAAGAATAACAATAACAATAACGACAACAACACAACTTCATTCTCCTCACCAAACAATAGCGACTTATCATCCGACCACCTCATTATCAACCCAAATATTAATATTGCAACAAAAACACAATGCCCGATTTTCATGCAAGAATACGAGCTTGTCTCCTCCTCCCCCTCTTCCTCATCCATACAACCCAATCATGATTTGACTAATTTACCCCTCACACAATTCACAAATAACCCTTTCAATATTCTTGATCATCATCAAAATATCTTTGACCTTAAATCGTGTTCGGACCCGTTATTCAACTTGCCGCCTTCTACATATCTGCATGAGCAACCGGTTTTGGTTAATAATAATATGATAGGGGGTGGTTTAGGGGAATATCATGGGAATCTCATGGATTCATATGTCATGGGATTGGAAAATGACATTTCTGTCCCTGGATTGGAGGTGAAAGGGGTTGAGGAGCAAGGGAGAGGTGGTGATTATAATGCTGCCTTTGACTATGTTTTGGAGAAGAAAAGCAATAGTATGATGAGTGGGGTCAACTACATTAAACAAACTTTGACCAATAATAATAATAATAATAATAATAATAATGGTGTTGGTGGTTTAAGTAGTGAAAGCATCAAAGCTGAGGGTGAGTCTGTTGGGATTGAGAATAATTGGGAAGGAGAAGGCTTCAAAATGGGAGAATTAGATTGGGAAGGTTTGTTGGCTAATGTCTCCACCTTACCATACCTTGACTTCCATTTTCAATAATAGATATATCCCTTTTAATTTTCTCTCTTTTTTCTGCCCCTAAACTTTTCATTAATTACCACATACATATCCCTTCTTTTTCTCATACACCAATAATTAATCCTTGAGTAATTTTTCAGTCATTA